CCCCTAGGACGATCACCGATATCAATAAATGATTCTTGATGAAAACACATAAAAGGTTGTGACACGGATGGCGCTCCATAGTTGAAAATTCTACAATAGGATGAAAGTAAAGTTAAGCTCGGTAGAATGCCGTCCGACGGAATGTCTGAGGGACCATTTGGCGAGCCGCCAGCTTGACTGTCGGACGTCGGACCGTTGGACGCACGAGTAGGAGCCATCAGCAGACGCGCCCCGACCGCTGGCCGGATCTCCGTTGGATAGTGGCCCCATCAACCCTTAGGCTGGTTGCTACTATATTTTTACCTAAGCATGGTCACCCGCCACGGAAAAAAAGAGTTAGCATCTGCGACACAAGAGGAACGGTAAAAAGGCGTTGCTTTACCTTCCCTGTGTCCCGTAACTGCCGTTTAGGGCTGTTGCCGGCCCTGAAATGGCAGTTACGAGACACAGGGAAGGGTGAGTAACGTCGTTTTACCTATACCTTGTGCTTCAGACGCTAACTTCTTTCTTCCGTGGCAGGTTCGTTTCCCTTCCTTTCCTTCCTTTCCTTCCTTCCTTCCCTTCCTCCCCTTCCTTCCCCTCCTTCCCTCCCTTCCCTTCCATTGCTTTTTTTTCTTTAATTATCTTCTCTTTCGGAGGTGATGTTTGTTTTTTTCTTATTCTTTCATCATCTTTTTTTTCTTTTACTACCTTCATTTTCTTTTATTTTCTTTTTATTCAAATTATTTTACTACTACTATTATTTTTTCTTTCTCTGTTGCATGTTGGTGTTGGTGTTGCATGTTGCATGTTGCTGTTGTATGTTGCTGTTGCATGTTGGTGTTGCATGTTGGTGTTGCATGTTGCATGTTTCTTCTGTTTCTTTCATTTTCTTCTTTCTTTCATTTTCTTCTTTCTTTCATTTACTTCTTTTTCTTTTATTTTCTTCTTATTCTTTTATTTTTTCTTTCTCTGTTGCATGTTGAAGTTGCATGTTTCTTCCGTTTCTTTCATTTTCTTCTTTCTTTCATTATCTTCTTTTTCTTTCATTTACTTCTTTTTCTTTTATTTTCTTCTTTTTCTTTTATTTTCTTCTTATTCTTTTATTTTTTCTTTATCTGTTGCATGTTGGTGTTGCATGTTGGTGTTGCATGGTGCATGTTTCTTCTGTTTCTTTCAAATTCTTCTTTCTTTCATTTTCTTCTTTTTCTTTTATTTTCTTCTTATTCTTTTATTTTTTCTTTCTCTGTTGCATGTTGCATGGTGCATGTTTCTTCTTTTTCTTTTATTTTCTTCTTCTTTTAATTTCTTCTTTTTCTTTGTTTCTTTTTCTTCTCTTTCTTTTTTTCTTTTTCTTTCTTTTTCTTCTCTTCCTTTTTTTCTTTTTCTTTCTTTTTCTTCTTTTTCTTTCTTTCCCTTCTTCTTCTTTCGTTCCTTTTCTTTCTTTTTCTTCTTTTTCTTTCTTCTCCTTCTTTTTTTTCTTTTTCTTTCTTTTTTTTCTTTTTCTTCTTTTTCTTTCTTCTCCCTCTTTTTTTTCTTTTTCTTTCTTTTTCTTTTACTTCTTTTTCTTTCTTCTCCTTCTTCTCCTTCTTTTTCTCTCTTTCTCTTCTTTTTCTTTCACTCATCCTGTGAAACTTTTTGAATTTATGCGCTCCACTAATCTCAAAATTTAACCTTTCCCCTCAACCCTTTTGTATTTTTACTGATATTTCCATGTAAATTTATTACTGTTACTGCCCTCTTTAGAGGTGTAAATAGCCTTAGATGCTAAAGCACCGCTTTAAAATAAAATTATTTTACTACTACTACCTTTTTTTCTTTTTCTTTCTTTCTCTTTCTTTTTCTTCTTTTTCTTTCTTTTTCTTCTTTTTCTTTCTTTTTCTTCTTTTTCTTTCTTTTTCTTATTTTTCTTTCTTTTCTTATTTTTCTTTCTTTTCTTATTTTTCTTTCTTTTCTCCTTTTTCTTTCTTTTCTTCTTTTTCTTTCTTTTCTTCTTTTTCTTTCTTTTCTTCTTTTTCTTAGATGCTAAAGCACCGCTTTAAAATAAAATTATTTTACTACTAGGTGTAAATGGCCTTAGATGCTAAAGCACCGCTTTAAAATAAAATTATTTTACTACTACTACTACTACTACTTTCTTTCTTTTTCGCCAATCCAAGATAAGTATAGGTTGACAGGATAGAATCTGTACATTAAGGATGAAACTGTTCGTTTTGCTGAGTTCGTATCCATTTCAGTGCGTAGATTTTTATGTATTGAGCCGAAAACACCTTGCAGATATGAGTCGAGTCGAAAGCTACTTGTTGGTTTATGAGTCGAATCGAAAGCTCCTTGCTGATTTATGAGTCGAGTCGAAAGCTCTTTGCTGATTCATGAGTAGAGTCGAAAGCTTTAGTTGATGTTTTCTTCGTTATAAGAGAAATTTGAGAACAACGATGATCCCTCGGACACAACGTGTTTCTCATTCTGACGGAATATCCTGATATTCAATTTTCCTTCAAAACGCGTCTCTTTCGCCGCATTCGGATTTATGACTAGGCCAAATTAATTTTTACAATATTTTTTACCTCCTCGAGACATCGTGGGAGGCTATAAATTCAAAGACCAAAACCTTACTTGCTAGTGACTGAATTATTTGCTTTATTCTGTACCAAAATACATCCGCATTACGATTTTTGAGGTGAGTCAAACGTAATGATTTTTACTTTTCGGTTAAATCAGGAAATTAGAGGAGATAATAGGTACCCGAGGTAGAGCCTGTACGTTTAATGATGGTATTGTTTGCTGTTTACGATATAAATATGATTCAACAGCATTCAGCTGTATTAAAAGTTGAGATGAAAACGTTTTACAGATTAATGAGTTGAAGACTCAGAAAGTATTTTTAACTTTTTCCCCGTGACGAGAGAAACTGGAGAACAATGATGATTTCTATAACAGATAATGTACCGCGCTGTGCAAAACTGCCTGTGACTTCAATGATGGGATTGTTTGCTATTTATGTTATAAATAAATTTCAAAAGCGTTTAGGTTTAGTGAAAGTTGAGAAGAAAGCGTTTTGCAGATTCATGAGTTGAGTCAAAAAGTATTTTTAGCCTTTTCCCTGTGATGAGAGAAACTCGAGAACAATGATGATTTCTATAACAGATAATGAACCGGCCTGTGGCGAAATTGCCTATGACTTCAATGATGAGATTGTTTGCCATTTATGATATAAATAGAATTCAAAAGCGTTTAGGTTTAGTGAAAGTTGAGAAGAAAGCGTTTTGCAGATTCATGAGTTGAGTCAAAAAGTATTTTTAGCCTTTTCCCTGTGATGAGAGAAACTCGAGAACTATGATGATTTCTATAACAGATAATGTACCGCACTGTGGCGAAATTGCCTATGACTTCAATGATGAGATTGTTTGCTATTTATGATATAAATAGAATTCAAAAGCGTTTAGGTTTAGTGAAAGTTGAGAAGAAAGCGTTTTACAGATTCATGAGTTGAGTCAAAAAGTATTTTTAGCCTTTTCCCTGTGATGAGAGAAACTCGAGAACGATGATGATTTCTTTAACAGATAATGAACCGAACTGTGGCGGAATTGCCTATGAGCTCCTCCTATTTCCTGGTTTAACTAAAAAGTATAGAAACTTCTATGCATGTATCGCTATCGGTAAATAGAATAGGTGAGGTCATTATACATGTACCTCTTTTATTTCTTTTATTTTTCTGCTGATGGTAACCAAAGAAAAGTGTGTTTACACACTAAGTGTGTATGAAATAGAAATTGCAGAATCTAATGATAGAATCGTCTACCATTCAGCGTCAAAACATTTTTCTACTATACTTGCAGAGTATAATGAGCTAATCGTGAGATGAAACTCGTACAGTACACGAGGATGCAATATTTACGAGTTGAGTCGGAAGAGCTTTTATCTTATTAGATTTACATAATTTAGTGACAACATTTTTGGAATATGCTCCATAATCGAGTTTATTTACCGGCAAAACATCAATCTTTCACTTAACTTTTTAACATGAAGTTTCACTTAACTTTATAACATGAAGTTTCATGAAATTTGGTAGATTTTCAAGTTTTTAAAGAAAGAAAAAAAAAAAAAACTTCACCAAGGAATTTTTTATGCCTTGAGACGTACAGAATAAGTAAAATTGATCTTGGAATTTTGAAAAAAAAAACAGAGTAATAAATATAGAAATAAGTAAATCATGAGTTAAATTTCAAGGTTTTCTATCGAATTTCCGGATAATTGTCGCGAGTTGCATGCACCTTACACAGCCCCTATCAAATTGTTCAAATTTAATGAAAAATGAAATCTCATAATTCATCTCATTTGCAACTTGAGCCCAAATTACTGCTTACACTTTTTATCTTTTAACTAAATTTCAAATTGTAGATGAGTTGTCAGTTGCTGAATCACTTACCACTTAAAAAATTGCACACTTGAAAAGTGTAAGAAATCCACTTGAATTTTTCCTATCAGCCTCTCTCACAGCGGTTTAATCACCAGCCAAACTTTAATCAAATTTTGGTGCATTAAAAATGTTTCTACGTATCTGGATGTTTCCTTGGAAATTTTAAAACCACCTAGTGCGACACACACAAAAATAAAAGAAAACAAAAAAAGACAACATCTTTGGACGCCAAACGTCCAGATTTAATAGAGATAACATCGATAGGAAAACGTCATATGTGCGGTGAGACCTCTGAACCTCCAGCGAATATTTGCTCGAATTATTATTAGTGATCATGTTCCAGCTCTCAACTTGTATGGAACTGTGGAAAGTCTTCAAATGTTTATTAACATATTTCTGGAATGAATACAGTCGACTTTTTATAACTATTAATCATTATTTCTCAGACATTTTTTTATCTCATTTTTGTTGTTTATGATCGTATATATTTTGAAAACTACGTATAACATGGGCAGAATTTAAATCAGCGTAGACAAACCTGTGTCTTCAACCAATATTTAATATTACTTTAAATCTTTCATGGCCAAGTTTTTCTTTTCAGTGTATTCTCTGTGCTAGTGTTGTGAGTGCTTTCAGCCAGGCGTCGGGCAAATGGATAACCGTCTATTGGTATGTACCTATGATTTTACTCTTCCCTTTTCTCCCCCTTATTTATAATCTAATTGTTATCTGCCTCTGAATGAATTGACTGTCACATATGAAACGAACTCTCTATTGTCGTCGTTGGCAGCAAGTGAAGTGTATCAGTCCAAAAACATGTATTTAATGACATGGTTTCTTTCATGTTGGGCTAAACCGCGTCTATTTTGAATTCAAAAATAGAAAATTTATTTTTCGATTTAAACCTAAATATTTTGGAAGTACATGCCTGGTGGGGCCATTAATGCTTGCGTGTGCAACGCAAAGCTGGGTACGCACTAGAGCGTTTTTGAGGAACGAACCGAATGAGCAGCCACGAAAAAAGACTGTTTGAGTTGTGCGGCAAGTGTGGACGGGTCTACGAACGGCTCGAGCGTTTCTCCCGCACAAGTGGAACGAGCCGAATAGCATCGAAAGCTTTTGATGTTATTCGGATCGTTCCCGCATTTTTCAGCCACGAACCGCTGATTTATACCGCCCAAAGTGCATCAGTTGACCTCTTGGTTAAGATGGAGAGGCATCAAGTGGCAGCCGGTGCTTTTTTAATTATATTCAAGTTGTTAAAAAATACGAAAAAATCTCTCCCGCGCTTTTGGATGAGAAAGTTGTATAGAGTGCGTGAAAATAATTTGCTCGTGAGGGATATGGACTTCTTCCACTTTCAAAATTTTGTGCGCATGAGTTCAGTTGATTTTGAGAAACTGCTCACTATAATTGGGCCGAAAATTACGAAGCAGGTGACCAACTTCCGTGAACCAATCCCGGTATCCAACCGACTAGCAGTCACACTGAGATTCTCAGCAACAGGAGACTCAAACACAAGTTTGCAGTACTTGACAAAACTCTCAAAGCAACAAATCAGCGAAATAGTCATCCAAAAGGACGACCATCTTCGCGCTCGCGGCGTTCCCGCGAAAAAAGATCGGATCGTTCTGTTCCTCGCGTTTGCGTTTTTGAACATGTCGAATACGTGCTCAAACTACTCGCACGGTTCGGCTCGTTCTGTTCGTTTGTCAAAAACGCTCTAGTGCGTACCCAGCTCAACGGTGAGCGTTTCGCAGGCTATGATGATCTAGGGACGAGATTCGCCACCACGTTGCGCTGCTATGCGGTTTACGTCTTTAAGCGGGGTATTACCAAGAGAGGCAATAATGGAAATGTTGCATGTGTGAGGAATTTTCGATTTGACTATCGATTCATTTGTAAAATTCCGCAAGAAACACGATGGTGCCTCTGGTTTTCTCTGAAATCAACTCCCAAGCTCAAAATAAGCTCTCAAGTTAAGGTCAAAATGGAGGGAATATCCCACGCTATCCTGAGAGTCCACCTCTACATCAAGACAGACTCTCCATGCATAGACAGGGAGCAAATACATTAGCAGTGTTGCCGTGTTTTCAGTTTTAGAGTCCCCAAATAAAGTGGCAGCCCTGTCAATGTATTTGCTCCCTATCTTTGCACGGAGATTTTGTCTTGATTTAGAGGTGCACAGTGCACTCTCAGGATAGCGTGGGATATTCCCTCCATTTTGGCCTCAACTTGAGAGCTTTTTTAGAGCTTGGGAGTTGATTTCAGAGAAAACCAGTGACACCATCGTGTTTCTCGCGAACTTTTACGTAAGAATCAACAGTCAAATCGCAAATTCCTCACACATGCAACATCTCCATTATCGGTATGTACAAATTAATGCAAGAAACTGATCTATAACGTGTAGCAGCATCAATGCTGAGTAAAATGACATCGAAGTTAAGATTCATTGAAAATTTATTTTTTAAACTACGATAAAGGACGTTGCCCATTGACTCAATATGTAAGAGTGTCTTTATAGCGCCATTTCTCTCTTACGCATGGAGTCAACGGGCGACATCCGTTATTGTAGTTTCAGGTATAAATTTACAATGAATCTTAACTTCGATGTCATTCTACTCAGTGTTAATGCTGCTACTCGTTATGGATCAGTTCCTTGCATTATCTTGTACATTACGATGATTATTGCCTCATAAAGAAGTAAACTGTGAGGCAGCGTCTTGCGGTGGCAGATGGCAGATCTCGTCCCCAGATCATACAGAATCAACTTAAAGAGGAGCCTTCATTCGCGAGATACCACAACATATGCAAGAGGTTTCTCGTTGCATCCTTCAGCAAGGGGTTTGCGAATAAATCAACGATGACCCAAGATTGACGGAGAAAAACAGGAAATAGACCTTTGGAAAGGATGGACTGTTAGAACGTTTCTTAATTTTTTTGTGTCCTCTATGTTAAAAGTACAATATTAATGAATTGTGTATTATTATATCGCGCATTGTTCGCGATATTCAGATGAATTTCGCGCCGCCTATCTCAAATTACTGCTGAGGTTTATGAACATCATTCTCGTATCAACGCAAAAGTCGAGTGTTTTCCGCAAATCGAGGTGAAAATTGTGTCATCATTAGTGATTTTCATGCACCGCGGGAAAATTTGCGTACAATTCGCGATATTTACACTGGGAAAAAAAACACATTGGATCTAGAGTCCAGACTATTGAAAAAATTAACAAGAAAAAATACTCTTGATTCAATCTGATTGATTTTTGCTTGAATCAAAACGAAATCCGCTTAAATTAAGAGGCTTGGTTCTTGATTTAAGCTAGATTCTGATTGAATCAAGAGTACTTTTTCTTGTCGATGTTTTTAAGAGTCTGGACTCTGTATCCAACATGTTTTTTTTCCAGTGTTGGTGAATCACGCGCAATTTTTAATGATAACATCAAATCGCCGGAATAATCGCGTATATTTGCGGCGATTTTACAGTGATTATCGCGCAGTGGCGTGGCGTGAATTGCGATATATCGATTGTCATGCCATTTAATCCTATGTAAAAGGATCGATAAACAGGGTGTTTGCAGCGAACACCTTAATAATCGATTCTTTACCATAGGTTTAAATGGCATAACAATCGATATATCGCAATTCACGCCACGCCACTGTTATCGCGCAATTTCTCTTTTACTTATAATATCCTTGAGAAAATCGCGCGTTTCCCACGATACCGAGATGGACATGCGGCCCGTGATTGTGTTGGAACCGAATCCGCTGGAAATGTCGCGATATTGAGATGAAACTCCCGTAAATTCTCACTTTTTCACACGCGAAGATCAGGCGAGCAACTATTCGAACTGCGGTGTGTATAGGTTTGTAGTATCACGCGAAAATTGAAGGATAATCTAAGGTTTTCGCATTCCTCAAATTTCTGACTCTCATGAGCATTTTGCTCCCATCAATGGTGAAATCGCGCATTTTTGACGATATTAAGTAGAAAACTGTGGAGTCTTGGGTGATCTTTCTGAACCGCTTGTGCTTTGCGTTTGTGCCGCGATAATGAGGTGAATAACGCGTAATTTTCAACGATTTTACGAAACCGCTGGTAACTTCACGTATTTGCGCGAAATTGTGGTGATTATCGCGTAAATGCTCATTTTTTCTAGAAAATTTCGGGAAAAATCCCGAATTTCCGCGATACCAAGTGAATACGGCATAATTTTTTCGATTAAACCCAATCCACTGCGCTAGAAAAATCGCGGACTTCTCGCGGTATTAAGATGAAATTTGCCTGGAAGTTTGCGAAAAATCGCGGAATATATTACTTCTTTACTTGCGAAAATTAAGCGAGCAACTATTCGAACTCTGAAGTACGTACGTGGTATCATGGGAAATTGAAGGAAAATCTTGGATCATCGCCATCTCGAATCACGGATGTTATCGAACATTAATTTCGCATTGATGCTAAAATTGCGTATCTCCCGCGCAATATCGAGGTAAAAATTGTGTGTTCTTAGTGCACTTACTCAAATGCGGAAATTCGAGTGTTTGTCGCGATTTTGAGGTAAATAACGCGTCATTTTTAATGATTTTACAAAACCGTCAGAAAAATCGCACATTTGCCGCAATACATAGCGATGGTTATCCCATAATTACTTATTTTTCTTACATTATCTCTGGAAAAATCGCGTATTTCTCATGGTACCAAGATGAAAAGCGCGCATAAGCTTATGATTATAATGCGTCCGCGTGGAAAATCGTGTACTTTTCGCGGTACTGAGAAGAAATTCGCACTATTAATAACTTTTTATCAGGTGGAAGAGGAAGTGAGCAATTGCGCGAACTCCTGAGTATGTTCGGGGTATCACGCTCAATAATAGGAGAATCTTAACTTTTCGCCTATCTCAAACAACGAATGTTTATGAGTATTATATCCTCGCATAGTTTTAAAAGTCACGTTGCGAAAAATAACACACAACTGTAACCTTAACATCGCCGAAATTACGAAATTGCATATTGTTGCGAGCATAAAATTCACAAGCACCGCAGTGGCAAAACATAGGCAAAAAGCTAAGGTTTTCCTTCAATTTCGCGTGATAACACATCCAAAACATAGGCAAAAAGCTAAGATTTTCCTTCAATTTCGTGTGATACCACATCCCTACTCCGGAGTTCGAATAGTTGCTCGTTTGATGTCCGCGTGAGGAAAAGAGAAACATTACGTGAGTTCCGTCTCAATATCGCGAGATCTCGCGATAATTCTGGCCGAATAATCGAATTTGCGCGCTTTTCAACTTATTTTCGCTGGAAATGCGTATTTCTTTTAATAGCATGAAAAATTCCTTCGTAGTCACGGCAATATCGCGCCAAATACGCGATTTTCCATGCGGTCTTGGGAAATCAGTTATAATTACGCGTGATGTACCTCAATATCTTGGCGCATACACCAATTTGGCAGCAATTAACAAATAACACAAATAATCACACATTTTTCACCACAATATCGTGGAAAATCCGCGATTTTTCTGTTGACGCGAGCATCGTTTTCGTAAACGATAGTAACTTACTTACGAAAAAAGCTAAGATTTTCCTTCCATTTCTCGTGATACCGCACACCTACTCCGGAGTTCGAACGGTTTCTCGCTTGATATTCGCGTGAGGAAAAAAGCAACATTACGTGAGTTTCGTCTCCATATCACGAAAATTTCCCGATACATCCAGCGGTTTCCTTAAATTAAGTGAAATTACAAGCTTTTCGTCTCGATTTCAAAGAACGAGCGCGATTCTATTTTTCTATAAAATGAACAATTATGCGATGAAATCGCGTCAAACGTGCGAGCTCGCGTTCGGTCCCCTGCAATCATTAAAAATTTCACGTAATTCACCTCAATACCGCGGCAAATACGCCGATTTAACAGCGGTTAACGGAGAACACTAAAGGTCGGATTTTTCCACAAAGATTTTTCCAGCGGTCGTGTAGGTACATTCATTAAAAATTGCGCGTTACTTGCCTGACTATCGCGGTACGTACGCTTAGAAAGCGGTTGCTGAGAATCACAAATGATAACAATATTTTGACCTTAATATCGCCGAAATTACGCGATTATTTTTATCGATGCAAGCAAAAAATTCATTTATTCGTCAGTACTTAAACATAGGCAAAAAGCTAACATTTTCCTTCAATGTTGCTTGATACCACATACCTACTCCAGAGTTCGAACAGTTGCTATTTGCTACTGATGCTTATGAATTGTATGCTCCCATCGATATGCAAATGCGTAATTTCGGCGAAATTAAGGTTAAAATTTTGTTTTCTCTGGTGATCTCGATCATGTGCTCGTAAATTGGCGTACTTGCTGCGATATTGAGGTAAATAACGCAGATTTTTTAATGATTATGAAAGGCTGATGGAAAAATTGCGTATTTAACTTGTTATTCCGGTGTTTATCGCGTAGTTGTTTATTTTATTTAAAAAAAAATCGCTGCAAAAATCGGACAATTCTCGTAAAACTGAGGTGAAAAGCGCGTGATTTCTGTTGATGTGATGAATCCGTTTGAAATATCGCGTATTTTACGCGATATTGGGATGAAACTCGCATAAATTTCCACTTTTTCCAACGCGGAACACATCGAACTCTCTAGTAGGCGTATGGTATCACGTGTAACTGAAGGAAAATCATAGCTTCTCCCCCATCTCAAGTTCCTGCTGTTTCTGAATATTATGCTCACATCGATATAGAAATCGAATTGCAAGACTTCGCTGTTTGTTATGTCAAAAATAATAATGTCTTTGCTTTTTTCTGTTTTTTCAGAGCTTCCCGATTCCTCACCTGCCAAACTGCTGAACGGTATGTAATTATAATTTGTATTTGCTCTCCACATTTATTAAGCTCGCAGAAACGTATTATATTCCTTTGAAAACAATTTTACGGCTACAGTAAAGAGGGTAAACCAAGAGGTAGAACGAAACTTAATAGATTTCTGTCGCTTCCAATATTTTAGAGTTTCAAAATCAGAAAAATCTCTTGAATTATGAGGAATGCCCACGGAAGAACAAGCAGAAAAGAACTTCAGTTCACATGAAATCACTAAAGTTTTCGGTCATTAAAATTAAATCTCAGCTTAAATAAAAAGAAAAGTTTGTTTTTTTTTTTTTGCCGTAAAAAAACTTAAAATCTTCACCAACTTCTCTCGTTATCTGGACGAAATTTGCTCTCTCTTATCGAAAATTCTGCTGCTTTATATATTGTGTATCAATTCTCGTAATGAAAGTTGTTTTTGCCGTGTCCTACTTCGAAAAGGAGGAGTATCGTTTTGGGCCTTTTCCGGCCCCACCTGGATTTTGCTGAATGTTTCATATTTTCAAAGTACTAGTCCTAGGTAGACTTTATGCCAAATATTTTACCGAACGGAGCCCATGCAAAGGTGCAACAACGCCTCAAACCCAGAACCTCGGCATCGAAAAATAGTTATTTTCGTCGACTTTTTCGACTGTTATCACTCTTTCAGCAGATGCTTCCTATGTATTTTTTTGCGTACTTTCCGTTTCTGGCCTTTTCAAAGGCCTCCGATAAATTTCAAGGGGCCTTATGGCCCATTGTTGCCATTTTTGGCCCATTTTTAGGGGTTTTTTCAATTTTACACACGCAGAAATCAATTCCAACTAAAGACCGTGTACGTTTGTGAAAAGAATGCAAAAAAATGAATAAAAAATGTTCAGTGAAACTTTTTCCTACGTTGCCAAATTTTCGAGAAAAATCGTCCCAAAGACCCAAAAATGGCAAAAATTCGATAAATTGCCACGCTTAAGGTTCAAGAAAGTGGAGTACAACCTTTATATTGACGTACGTAACAGCTCTTACCTATAGATACAACATATCAAAAAATTATAGTTGTGCCTGGATTCCCACGATGTGAAAATTGACCGGGATGTCGATTTTAGCGGCCTTTCTTTACTTGAAGGTAGCTCTTTTGAATGTTTCTCGACCTTAGTCACCCTCTATGGGTGTGTACAATATGTATTTTTCTACGTACTTTTCATATCTGGCCATAAAAATGGCTTCCTGTGAATTTTAAAAGGCGTAACGGTCCATTGTTGCCAATTTTCACCATTTTTTAGGGTTTTTTTCAAGTTAATATGTGTGAAACTTAATTTTATCTATAAACCGTGTACATTTTCGGAAAGAACGTAAAAAAATACATAAAATGTGATTTGTAACTTTTCCCTACGTTGCCAAGTTTTCGAGAAAAATCGTCCTGAAGCGCCCAAAATGCCAAAAATTGGATTAATCATCACGTCGATGCCGAGGTTCTGGGTTTGAGGCGTTGTTGCACCTTTGCATGGGCTCCGTTCGGTAAAATACACAGGCTGTCCCAACACAACTGGCACCAAGGCTGTCATTCGAGAACTACTATAGATATCGACATACGGTTTGCGGGAGGTGATAGCTCATACTCTTAGCTCTTAAACGAGCCTAAGTTGAGCTAGTTTGGTTAAAAACTCAACGAGTTACATCAATTTTCCCGAGACGTGTAAGAAATACCCCTACGGGATTTCTCGGTAGTTTTTCATTCCTTAACTTTGCCTCCGCAAGCTGTGAAATTGGTTCAGACGTTATGAATCAAGTTTCCACTTCTCTGGATGCAAGTTTGAACTTGTCAGCAAGTGTTTCCAACGCAGCCGAGAAGTTTTTTTCTGTTTGCAAAGTCAGTTTAGTGAAATTGTCCGGCCTGATAACGCGTTTTTTTGTGTTTCGTCATGAGTTCACCCGCGGAGTTGAAGCAAGAGCAACGAGACGCAATTCGATATTGCGTTCGTCGTGAATTATCTGCTTCTGAAACTGTGAATGAAATGACAGTGGCTCAGAAGTGTTTCAGAAGCAGATAATTCACGACGAAAGCAATATCGAATTGCGTATCGCTGCTCTTGCTTCAACTCCGCGGGTGAACTCATGACGAAACACAAAAAAACGCGTTATCAGGCCGGACAATTTCACTAAACTGACTTTGCAAACAGAAAAAAACTTCTCGGCTGCGTTGGAAACACTTGCTGACAAGTTCAAACTTGCATCCAGAGAAGTGGAAACTTGATTCATAACGTCTGAACCAATTTCACAGCTTGCGGAGGCAAAGTTAAGGAATGAAAAACTACCGAGAAATCCCGTAGGGGTATTTCTTACACGTCTCGGGAAAATTGATGTAACTCGTTGAGTTTTTAACCAAACTAGCTCAACTTAGGCTCGTTTAAGAGCTAAGAGTATGAGCTATCACCTCCCGCAAACCGTATGTCGATATCTATAGTAGTTCTCGAATGACAGCCTTGGTGCCAGTTGTTTTGGGACAGCCTATGTATTTGGCATAAAGTCTACCTAGGACTAGAACTTTGAAAATATGAAACATTCAGCAAAATCCAGGTGGGGCCGGAAAAGGCCCAAAACGATACTCCTCCTTTACCGCTTCTCATATATATAGTCCTTATTTTATTTAAATTCTGTTTGCGTTTGCGTGCTATTAATTGCAATCACAATCACAATAATTTCAGTCGTTTGAAAAGAAAGAAAATCGAGAAAAATGCATCCGTCCAAGCTCCTTTGTTACCTGTAAACTAGTCCCCTATTCTCGTACTTTTGTTTAACGATCATATCCTTTCCAAAATAATTTTCAAGGAACCTCAAGCACCGTCTCTCTGTATTCCTATATCAAAACATGTTTTAGATTTTTTAGTCCAAACGCGTCTATCGGTGCGAGGAAACGAATAGCGTATCCGTACCTAGAAATAATGGCACCTTATTGAAAAAATTTAGTCCAGTTGCTGCAACAAGTGAAATTGTATAGCTTTGTCGTCGTAAATATAATATCTAGAAGAGTTGAGAGCATTGAGGAGCACAAAGCAAAGAAGTTGCCTTCGCTCAGAATGAAGGCGTTTTAAACCCTCGGTAGTAACACATTCTTCAACGGGTATTAGAACAGAGTTCAAATACGCTGCGGAGTTTAAGTGCGTTGTGCATGCGTATTCTTTTTCCGCAATAATTGTCTCCCTAATTTAATCGATTATTTTCAAAAATCAATTTATAAATAGTAATTTTAAAAACTAAAACAAACAGTAAATTGGGCAACGTCCGATGAAGTTGGACATATTATGGTAAAATCCATCAGTTTAAAGATGAAAAGTGGCCAAAAATGTCGAACCAAACCAACGTTATGGTAATTTGAAGTTCGCATTTCGAAAAACATAAATCTGCAACTAATGAATTAAAAATTCTAGTCTGCGATGTTCAAGAAGCTCAAAAGGAATTAAATCATGGTGTCTAGTTTTTTTAAAAACCGGGATTCATCAGGGAATGAAAATTTACCGAGAAAATTTAGGGGAAATCAGGGAATCTGTTCCAGAAACCGGGAATCTCTTCTCGAACCACCCAGGGATCATTTCGTTTTCAATTTGGCGGTCTAATCTGACGTGCGCCAAAGAAATGGCTGCAAGATGAATTAAAATCAATATGCATGTCAAACTCTGGAAAATTATATTCTTCTCTCCAAAAAAATCCCGGGAAAGAGGGAGAAAACTTCGGTTTCTCATCAAGGAATGAGCTCCTGATAATCATGGAAAAATCAGGGAATGATAGGGCTCCATTAACTTGGTAATGAATCGACTCTCGGAGAGACTACGTGTTCTGACCAGAATCGATTCTTCAGCACATGTTCATGTGGAGGAATGTCATTGTTGACAATCTGGATCCGCTTCTGTTTACCACCTAGAATCTCCAAATCTCCTTTTTTGACCTAACTCCACAAATCGATCTACTAAAAATTTTGTCTTCGTTGACCAAATGACCAAGGTCCCTTTTTTCTAGTTGACGGTCACGTATTGAAATCCAAAAATGCATTTTTCCGATTGCGACGATAAAAGTCTCCGATCATAATTTAATTTTTGAAGAAAAATCAATACAGTTTTTGTTGCTTCAAAAAAGCTCATCGATGGAATTGTTGATTGTTGTCTCTCAAAGACTGTCGGCCTGGCGATCTTATATAGTAACCAATTTGTTCGGGACACATCATAGATCAAATTTTGAGATTTTCGTTAATGAATTAGTGCCAGTTTTAGGTCTCTAGTTCATGCGTTGGACGGGCGCCGTAGGCTTATGCTCAACCCCCATCCCTTTTTCTCACCCCGAGTAAAGAGCGAGAAGGGAAGGAGGGGTGAGTGACTGGGGGAACTGAGCATTTTTGCCAAATAGTGCTGAAGAATCAACACTTTCCCCTATAGAAATTCGCGTAAAATATCCACAATTTATTGCAAAACCCGGTAACCTTGGAGCTGAGCACTTTTTATTTGCCCGCTACGGTTCATTCGAGGAGAAATGTAAATTAAATACTCGAGGAAATTCACGGCAGCACGCAACTGGCAATTGAAACCGTAGGAAGTGTTAAACGCGAAGCCTCGTTTCCAGGTGAAGAATGAGCCAACTTTAAATCCTCTCGCCCAGTGGCGTGGCGTGCTTTGCGGTATATCGATCGTTATGCCCTTTAAACCTATGGAAAAGGATCGATAGACAGGGTGTTCGCAGCGAACGCCTTAATGATCGATTCTTCACCATAGGTTTAAATGACATAAAAATCGATACATCGCAATTCACGCCACGCCACTGCTCTCGCCCTGCTCGCGCGGCTGAGAGGGGGCGGAGGTGGAGGAGGTTACGTTGCTTGATATTCATCTTGACGTGCGAGAGGGCAGGGATTCCTTCGAGAGCACAGGGATGCGAAGGGCGAGAGTGATCGGGGGGGAGGGGGATGAGGCGTGATTGTGGCACTTGAATTAAGTGCGTGAGGGCCATCGCGTGCGCACCGGTGT